TTAAGACCGTTCCCGCGTCTTAATCCCATGCATTCGAATAATTCACCCCTTCGAGAATTTCATCATGATTGCACATACAACATATATCAAACATTTATCAATGTATTCATTTCACACATCATCATATTCAACAACAATGCACACATATCACATATGTTCCCATGCATTCACACAACATTCGCATACATATTTCCCAATCATCCAAAACCCATCATAATCACAAGCATACTTCATATATCCATGACATTTATGCTATTACCACATCATCAAACAATGCACATATATCCACGATATATTCCCATGCATTTCTCACAATTATTAACGATGCACACATATCCACGATATGTTCCCATGCATCTCTCACAATTATTAACGATGCACACATATCCACGATATGTTCTCATGCATACTTATTACATAATTGTACACAACAATCAAACATTCACAAACTCATCAATTAATACACACATAATCATCATTATGTTCTCATGTATTTTAACCGATTACAATTAATCATTCATATCACAACTCTAGGATTCACGCCCAAAGGCTACCCACAACACATATCATCACCATGGATCACATACTTATTCATATCATAGAGGTATTAACCTATGTGAAACAACCAAACCATCTTCACATGATCAATACAGCAAAAGGGAAATGCTGTCAAATTCGCCTTCCTTCGCCTGGCGAACCCTCGCAGCGAACCTTCGCCTGGCGAACTCTCTCAGCGAACACTCGCTAGGCTTCGCCTGGCGAGACTTCCCAGCGAGCCCAAGTCAGTAGCTACTGACTTCATTCGCCACCATTCGCCAGCACCTTCGCTGGGCGAACCTTCGCTATCCAACTTCGCCTGGCGAACCCACCAGCGAAGTCCACTGGGACTTAAATATAATTACTCGCCAACATTCGCTAGGCTTCGCCTGGCGAAGCTTCGCCTTCGCTCGCCTGGCGAGAGCCAGCGAACCTGCGCAGAACAGAATTTCATTCTGCCTCTTCTTCATCAATCCATCATCAACCCTCTCTTACACATCCAAATCAGTACAAATAACATCAATACATGTTACCCGACTATTCTACGGCATTATTGCTCAGTTTCAACCGATTAAATCATTAATCTACCGATTAATCCAACATTTGCCCTAATTGGAAAGTGATGAAAACATCCCCAAACCCAAACCCAACATACATAATAGCATACAATGATTAAATAGCAATGTTTCTCACCCTTACCATGGTTTAATCGAAGCTTTGAGTTGGTTCTTGAAGATTTCCACTTTCCTCTTCTTCTTCTCTTTTCTCCTCCTTTTCCTTCTTTCTCTTTTTCTCCCCTTTCTTTCTCTCTTACCAACTCTTATCCCCTTTTCTTCTATTTCTATTTTTTATATTTATTTCCATTCTATTTCCTCCATAATACCTTTCTCTTTATTTCTTTCCAATATATATACTCTCTCAAAACATCTATGAATCCATTAAACAAACATCTAATTATTCAAATAATTAGAATAATCCAAATAAATCAATTAATTAACACAATTAATTAATTATTGAAAATTGGGCTGTTACACTTCTGCAAGAGAAACTTTTGTTCTTCTTTATTGAAATATTTTGATGATATAGGTCATTTTCTTATCCTCTGAATCTTCTTTAAGATCTTCTACATGAGAAGTTTCTTCAAATTTCCATACTTGAAGAGCCTTAGCAAATTTAGCAACAGATTTTAAAGCCAGAGACTTTGAATTCTTGGCAGGTTCATCTTCATTGAGCTTCATCTTATGGCTTTGGAGGTTGCTTATAAGACTTTTAAGACTTAATGTATTTAAGTCTTTGACTTCCTGAATAAATGTCACCTTTTCTTTTGTATCTGACAAGAATATTCTTGATATGATCAAAGGTTGTGTAGCTCTTATTCATAACCTAAGTCCAGACACAAGAATTTGAAACCTTGAGAACGTGGTTCCAATATCTTCATCATCCTTCATTCTGAACAATTCATATTGTTGAACTAGAAGGTTAACTTTTGCTTACTTTACTTGTTAATCCCCTTCATATGTAGCACATAGGAATTCAAAAATGGTTTTAGCAGTAGAGTTGTCAACAACATGATATACTCAGAGTGAGGTAGATCACCTACCAAAATACCTCTACTTTATGATGTTTTCTATAGACCTTTTTCTGAGCATGTGTGGGAGTTTTTCTATCGATTACCATTCCAACTCCATTAACTAGAATATCAATGTCATATTCCAGAATATGCCAAAGCTCATCATCAAGACCTATAATATGAGTATACATCTTTCTCTTCCACCATTCAAACTTAGCAAAGTCTCCATTAAAATTTAGAGGTCTGGCATTATAATTATTCTTTTTAGAACTATTATAATCATGGTTAATAGCAGCATAAAGATTAGGATTACCACAATCAGATTCAGATACTCCTGACATGATTCAATAGTTTTTCTCTTAGGATATTTGTTGTACCACTGTTGTGTGTTTAACACAGACCGTGCTCTAATGCCTACTCAAGGTGAGAAAAATACAAGAAGGGGTCGAATTGTGTTAACTTTTTCTTTCTTTTTAAAAATCTAGTCAGATTCTAAACATAAAGTATAGAATCTGAACCAATCAGAGGTGAGTGGTAAGTAGCAGATAAGGAATGAAAGAAAGAAGGAGACACCCAGAGTTATCCTGATTTCTCTCACAAATCGAGAGTAGTTCAGTCCCCTTGTACTTACAAGAGATTTTCACTATAACTACGCAAGATTAAAATTTGCTCAAGCAAACAAGTAAGATACTTCCAATGCTCAAACACTAAATAAAAGACTTCTATGCAAAAGCACACAAGGAAGAGACTTTCAATGCTCAATCACACAAGAAAGAGACTTCTATGCTCAAGCACACAAGTAAGAGGCTTCAAATGCCGAAACACCAAGTAATAGAATTCTAACAATCTACCTAATAGATAAAAGATTGTTTGTGGTAATACACTTGATATATAATCAGGGGTGTAGACAAAATACAATGCAAGAAGACTCTTGAGACTTAGGAATTTCTAAAATATACAAAGATAAGAAATCCTAAGTAAAACTTGTGCTTATGTTTTTACAGAGTAACCGCTATTTAAATGTCAATCGTTTGTTGTTGTTCTTCAAATCTTCAGATCCTAAAATAAAGAAGGAAAAGAATCGTTGAAGAGCTTACACAAAAGAGTCTTTGAGAAATTGGAATAGAGACAGTGAGATGTTTTTTCAAATGGTTAATGTTGTTGAAAGACAATATGGAATTCATTTGCTTTAAACTGAATTATCAAACACATCCCAACTATCTATATGAAACATAACTTAGGTCTTCACGTAATCAGAAGAAAACAAAATGGCCTCAGACTCTGACAATGACTTATCAAAGTCACCTTGATCTTTGCACTTTTACTGGCCTCAACTTCTGATCTTCAAAAACAGATTTCTTCAAAGTCTGGTGTTCAGAGATTGACTTTTATAGACTTTGGTACTCAGAAGTTGACCTCTTTAGAGTCTGATATTCAGAAGTAGACTTCTGATCCTTCATATTCTAATTTTTAAAGTTCTCTTTAGATGTTCATTATCATAACCAATATTTAGATTATTTCTGAAATTTTGGTTTATAGTCTTGTACACTTGGATAAAATTAGTATACTCAATTATTTTTTAAATATTTTACTATCATCAAAACTTAAGAAATATTATACAGAACTATTGTTCCAACAAAGTTGACAGTAGTAGCAACAAACATTAAATTTAGTGGAGGGATTTCCATTTAGTGGGAGAGAAACTCAGTCAATCCAAACTGGTTTTCTGAAAACATCAACAATAATGTAGAGGGAGCTAAAGACCTCTTCTTTTGGTGGAACAAGTGGCTCGGTCCACAATGCCTAGCAAACTATTTTCCAGAAGTATACAGTCTAGCAAAGAATCACATGGCTAGAGTGGAGGATATGGACAGTTGGACAGAAGGAATTTGGTACTGGAGTAATTGCAGATCAAGTGGAGGTTCTTGATCAGGTGGATGATTTGTATATTCTGTTACATGATATAAAACCTATACCAAAAGAGAAAGATCAAGATGTGTGGTTTCATGAAGCTGAAGGGAAATTCACAGTCAGTTCATGCAATAAGTTAGTCCTGAGCAACTTGGTGGAATCAAATCTCAATGTAGAAACTTTGATTATGCTGCAGAGAATGTGAAAACAAAAATTCCTTCAAAAGTCCAAATGTTTGGTCAAAGATAAATAGAATTTTATTTGATGGTGATAAGTGTATCTTAAAAGACTTAATTAATGATGTAAAGGTTGTTCTTGGGTGTGGCACGTGTCATACGTGTGAAAAACAAAACCAGTAGAAACTTTTATGAATGGTGAAAAAGTCCATTGGACTTTCTTAATATAACCTAATTTTTTTATATTTGGGATATTATTATATTTGGATTTTGAGTACCTCTTATATTCAATTAATGTTATTGCTTATTGAAAAAAATGTTTTTTTTTATATACAACCAAACAAATGATGCCACCAAATGTATTTTTAAAACGCAAACCAGACAAGAAATTTCTATAATGAAATTGACATTGAATTATTTTAGATATACAGTCCCTTAAAAAATAACTTATTTTAGACAAAAAAATTTCAACATTTTTTGACGGGATAAAATTATTCTAGATATACAATCCCTCAAATAAGAACTTACTTTAGAGAAGACAAATGTAAGAGAAGTATCATCCTCACCAATAACAAGAAAAAACATTGTGTAACTAGGCCACCTACAAAATATAATAATAACTATAATTATATTAGAAAAATCATCTTTGGAAATGAAGTCCAAATACTCATAAGCCGGCCTAAACAGCTCATGCTTTACAGGACCTAAACAAGACATGACCTTGTCAATGTCACCCTACAATTTCTTATGTTTCTCAATATTAATTAAATCTTCTCATTTCATCATTTTTCATCTTAACTCCAATCATGCTTCATGAAAGAGAATACATCTCTATTTTCATTCTCTTCATGGTAGCCACTTGTTTCCTACCAACCATAATAGCTGACACAGATGCTCAAATTCTAATGAACTTCAAAAGCTTCTTATCCAATGCAGAAGCTTTAAACAATTGGAGTAATGATTCTACTAATGTGTGCACATGGATTGGCTTAATATGCATCAATCAAACAACACTTCATGGTTTGAGACTAGAGAATATGGGACTAAGTGGAACAATTAACATAGACATTCTTATGAAATTGTCCACTTTGAAGAGTTTTAGTGTCATTAATAATAGTTTTGAGGGTCAAATTCCTGCATTCAATAGAATTGTGGGATTAAGGGCATTGTTTCTGACTAATAACAAATTCTCTGGTGAAATTCCTAATGATGCTTTTGATGAGTTAAGATGGCTTAGGAGATTGTTCTTAGCAGGAAATGGATTTCAGGGTCATATACCTATATCACTTGCTAAATTGCCTAGACTTTATGATGTTGATTTACATGGAAATAGATTTGATGGTTCTATACCTGAATTTGTACAGAATGGTTTCAGAGTGTTTGATTTATCTAACAATCAATTGATGGGTGCAATACCAGAAGGTTTAAGAAATGAAAATCCAAGTGCTTTTGCAGGTATTCAATTTGTGTTTTATTTGTTCTTGCTTATTAGTGTTATTCAATGTTTTTAAAAACTGGTCCGTTACTGCGAAACCGGACGTGGCAGAATGGTACTGGTGCCGATATCAATACCGTTTTTCACCGTCTTTACAATAAACAAAAAATTATGGTTAATTCACACTGCGGCGACTGCAATCACGGTCACAATAATGTATTTTTCATATATTTCTTGTGCAACAGGCAACAAAGATCTATGTGGAATTCCTCTAAACCGCACCTGCAGCAAAAGCACCGTAAGTGTTCCACATGAAGAAGGAAAAGAAGAAAATAAAAACCGCCATGTTCTTATTAGTATTATTGCATTTGTGGCAGTGCTTGTATTGGTTTTAATACTAGCACTTTTATTCATCCGCTACCGCCGGAAGAAAACTGCAGCAAAATCCATTTCTAATAATGAGAATGGACAATCACAGTCCCAGAACACCAAAGCTAGTACAGCTTCCACTAGTGAGGACAAATCCATTGTAGCTGAATCCAAGAAAAGCAAAGATGAAGACTTGATATTCGTTACGAACGAAAGGGTTGAGTTTGATTTGCAGGATTTGTTAAGAGCTTCAGCTGAGGTTTTGGGAAGTGGAAGTTTTGGTTCAACATACAAGGCTATGGTGTTGACTGGACCAGTTGTGGTGGTGAAGAGATTTAAGCACATGAACAAAGTTGGTAAAAAAGAGTTCTTTGATCATATGAAAAGGCTTGGAGGATTGACACATCCTAATCTACTTCCTCTCGTCGCATTCTACTATGGAAAAGAAGAGAAGCTTTTGATACATGATTTTGCAGAAAATGGTAGCTTGGCTAGTCATCTTCACGGTATGATATGCTTAACTGTATATATTGATTCTACAATTCTGCTATAGTTTGTGAAAATTTAAAATATTTTAAGGCCTAACAGCAGCATTACGCGTCGCAGCAACCACAATGTCTATAATAACAACAAATGTATCGTAATTTAAAAGCATGATCACAATACATATGTAAATTAAATCTACTAAAAACTAGTAAAATTTCAATGAGAACTTAGTTAAGAATTCTAGTGAAGTCACTTTTGCCTCATGTTTGATTTGTATAATGAATGCAGGTAAACATGGGTGTGATTTGGATTGGCCAACACGTTTGAAGATAATAAAAGGTGTAGCTAGAGGTTTAGCATATCTTTACAGAGAGTTTCCAGACGAAAAGTTACCACATGGACATCTAAAATCCTCCAACGTTGTGTTAGACCATTCATTCGAGCCTCGTTTAACCGAGTATGGACTAGTCGCGGTAACTGATTTGAAACATGCTCAACAATTCATGGTAGGCTTCAAGTCCCCGGAGGCGAGTCAAAACGAAGGGCCGAGCGAGAAGAGTGATGTATGGTGTTTAGGGATACTGATACTAGAGCTTTTGACAGGGAAGTTTCCTGCAAATTATTTGAGGCATGGGAAGGGAGCGACTGAGGATTTAGCAATGTGGGTGGAGTCTATAGTGAGGGAAGGATGGAGTGGAGAAGTGTTGGATAAAAGCATTGGTGGGAGTAGGGATAAGGAAGGTGAGATGTTGAAGTTGATGAGGATTGGGATGAGTTGTTGTGAATGGAGTTTGGAGAATAGGTTTGGTTGGAGAGAGGCAGTGGCAAAGATTGAGGAGTTGAAGGAAATGGATAGTGTTGAGGTTGGAGTTGAGAGTCAGAACTCTGATTTGTCTATGTGACTTTGATTTGTTTTGTTTTGTTTCTAGTGTTGTGTATATCTTCATCATCATCATATATGTGGTGCTTAAGAAAAAGAATTGTTTCATTTCACATTGATTCTTTGTAGCTATGGATATTAGTTTAAGAGTGGTTTTCTTGTGTTATTTTCAAACATATTTTAAATTGTGTAGCGTCATTGGTTTGGGTAAGCATGAGGTAGTCTTAGCTCCCCAAAAATATTTGTGTTAATTAGTACATATATTTTTAATTTAGTTTTCCTAATAATATCTATTTAGTTGTCTCAAACAAATCTATTTAACATTTAAATAAGTCTATAATTGAGTTGATTGGAGGAAGTCCCCTCTCCTCTTATCTTTTTATTCTTTACATGAAAAGGTTAGGTGAAATGACTGCTCGGGTAGTTCATGATTGAAGTTGGCAAACTATTTTGAATGTGTTGCATATATTAGAAGATGATTTCATCTTTAAAATAAAAGATTGGAGTGTTGAGAATAATAAGTGTGAGTAGTGTAGGAAAATCACACATTAGTTAGAAATGTAGAGATTTAAATATTTATAAATGGAAGAATTCGTACATTTATTATCTTAAAATTTTGAATAAATATTTATTATGTTTTTCACAAAGTTATCTTTCTTATTGAAAAAACCTTCAAAGTGTAAAAGTACTCTCGACTCTCCAAATTGACCCAACAATGAGCACAAATATTTGGTTCCGGTTTTCGACTTTAAAACAACATTTATGTGAAGTTGTGTAAGATATTGCTCCAGCTAACATTGGTTGGGAGATTAGAGATGTGTGTGACGACGATGATTGTAATATTTTAATTTTACATCCTTTGTTGCCTTCTAATATTAGAACAGTCTAAAGGACAATACCATGCTTTGTTGATTCCTCGAAAGATTTTTGAGTTTGAAATAGAGTCGTTAAAATGGATTAGTTTATATGGGTTGGTTCGTCAAGTTCGAAAAATAACAGGATTTAGATCTTATAATTGGAACTTATATTTTTTAAGACATTTTTAATTCAGTCCTAAAAACCCGCTATCTATTAGGATAAAGATTTAACTTGACACCCCACCAATTAGGTCTGGCACTGCCCCAACGTGTATGAAAAGAGAACACTGCCCCTTCAAATTTATTTTTTAAAATTTTAAAATTTACAATGCAGAGACAGAAATTTCAAATTCTTGGAGCGATGCCGGAAATTTCAATCATCTATCGAAAATTTTAAAACCAATGAGTTTTTATTCCGAATTTTTCAAAATCATCGGTAGTTTGTACTAGAAGTTTCAAAAAATTTGGTGTTTACTTTGAAATATATATCGGAAATTTCAAAATTTCCGGTGTTCACATTGAAATGTATACCGAAATTTTCAAAATTTCCAGTACAAAATCTCATTCATTATATCGGAATTTTCAAAAATTTCCGATAGTTATAAAGACCTGGTTTTTGTACCGGAGATTCTGAAATATCTCGTATAATGAATGAGATTTTGTACCGGAAATTTTGAAATTTTCGATATGTACAAAAATTTGTTTTGTACCGAAAATTTTGAAGTTTTTGGTAGTTGCCAATATTTTTTATTTTTTCTTCTTTTGTAGTGAAATACAGAGGCAGAGACGGCACTATTGTAGGGAGAGTTGTTGATCGAGCGACAGACCAGAGTATGGTTGTTAAGTCTTCCCAGATACGGGCAGGACGAGTGGACCCAATCGGTCACACCAGAGGCGATTGGCTGAGTAGGGTCAGTTACGGGTACCTCTTGCACTAGACGCTGACCGGTATGATCAGTAGAGCAGTCTAGAGATAAGGTGGTGCCAGATGTTGTTGTTGTCGGACTGGTGGTTAATCCAGTTTTTGATGCAGTTGTTAATCTGATAGTTAAAGAGGTTGCTGAGGAGGTTGGTTCGGAGGAGGTTGCTCGGGTGGTTTATTCAGATGTTGTTGTTACTGATTTGGTCCCATCGGTTATTGCTGACATGGAGGTCACGACTCCTTCGACTGAGCCATCTATGCACACTGATGGAGGAGTCCCTGGAGGACCCATCGACCGGTCAGTGCTCACAAAGTATGCTGACCATGTGGCATTACGACTATGGCAGGGCTAGGTATATGTCTTTTATATTTAACTTTAATTACTGTTTATATATGTTTGTCACCAGAAATGTGAGCTAATTTGTTTATATGTATTTGTCACAGGAGCTACCCACACTAAAGGTGGCATCGCACGGGTCAAAGATGAAGGAATTCCCAAAGATTTTAATGTCTAAGCAGATCAGTCGGATTATTTAGGAGTTCCAGCTGCTTAATTTTGCTCATTGCTACCTCACCATGCTCGACGCTCCACTACTTAGTGCGTTTTTTGAGAGGTGGCACAAGGAGACATCTTCATTTCATCTTCCATTCGGGGAGATGACTATCACTCTGGGTGATGTCTCCGAGTTGTTCCATCTCCCCATCAGCGACAGATTTTGGATGGCTCTCCTTATTAGCATGTCCCTTGCACGTCAGACTGTTGCACATGATTTGGGATTGTCTGAGGAAGATGTGCAAAATGAGTTTGGTGAGACCAAGGGCTAGCACCATTGTATGTTTTAGCTTCGGAAGACATACAATTAGCTTGTTGTCGCTGAGAGGTATGAGGTTGCCGCTAGGACGTACATACACATAGTAGCATGTACTCTCTTTGCAAACAAGTCTGGTGTTTATATAAATGCCCGATACATATGCCTCTTCAGTAGGTTCAAGGACATCAATTGGGCTTGGGGGTGTGTTGTGTTGGCCTTTATGTATACAGCTCGTGGAGTGGCGATGGTCTTTAAGACCAAACTGCTTGTTGGCTATTTAACTCTGTTAGTGGTATACTTGAAATTATCATTTGTTGTTGATTTCTTATTTAATTGTTACAAACAGCATTTCTCATTTATTATTTATTGTGTCTCTACTTTGATATCAGTGCTGGATATACGAGCATTTTCCCACCATCTATGATATCAGGGTGCAACATTGTGAGGTAATGTCCCCATGGGCGAAGAGATGAAAGGCCAAGTAGGCACATCTCTATGGTGTTGTTGAGTACAGGGGGAGGCTCGATACGCTGACTATAAATGATATCATCTGGACATCATACACTAGTCATAGAGTCTACCGTGAGTTCGAAGAGTCATATTTATATTCAGGTTGTATGTGGTGGGAAACCATGGTTGTTAGACACTTGCCTAAGAGTTGTCTACGACAGTATGGTTATGCTCAGATTATCCCACGACTAGTTCTAGATATACTATCTTCAGGTATTGATTGGTGGTTTCATAATAACTTCATCAGCTATGTTTGTGCCATTAGAGATCGAGCAGTCACTGTTCGGCACCCCTCGCAGTGCGATGATGGTTACTTAGATGGGTACCTCATTGTATCACACCCTCGCATCACCCCACCTACAGCTGATAATGGGCCTTCTGATGTCAGGGTACCTGTTGATGACTTGTCACAGCTGCCTCCTCTAGTAGATTATGTTGATGACCAGTAGCGCCTCCAAATGACTGTAGTTATTATGGATAACCTCATGTGTTTGGTAAACCCAGATGGCGGGGTTTATATTGGATTATCTTGGGTTGTATGCATAGCTTGTGGATGGCCTATTTAGACATCTTTTATATATCATGGATTTGGTCTATTATCTATTATTTGTATGATTTGTATATTATTCAGACATCTTCATCCTAACTCTTTATTTGCTAATATTTTTTATATTCCATAAACTGCAACGTCAACATTAACTAACATATGACAAACGATTACATAACCTAAACATAAATTAAACATAACTTAAGAAAAAACTTAACAATACAGATGATTAAAAATAAGAAAAACCTAAACACTACCAGACGATTCTAGGCATTTCAGCATTTCCATTATGTCGTCAACAGATCTTGAAAGCTTAGCATCTAACTCGATCAGCCTTTTTGTTATCCTATGGCGAAATGGTTTCCACATTTCCTTCATATCTTCATCAGCCTTCAACTCAATAAGGTTGTATTTCACCCTCCGGTCGGTATCAATCCAATCTTTATGAAACTCGATTTTTCTCACCTTTCTGTTTTTGGCATCAAACAAAAATTCATTCAACTTTGATGTCAGGCCAGAAAAAGATTTGGTGTCATCCGGAAGCCGAAACTCTACAGGAGGAGAAGCTCTGTTGAAGTACACTTCTGCCTTAATCAAAAATTGAGAAAAGACATTTTTTCATATGTACTTACCAAACAACATGTGACCCCTTATTTATACAACTTTGCATTTACTTGGACCACAGAAAAATGTTGGTGCAATCACAGCCATCTAAAACTGTTTGCAAAATCCTGAACATCCAAAAAAGCAAACAAATAACACTACTGGAAATTTGATTTAGGTTGAAATTTTTGGTATCAACATGCAAATTTCAAATTTTCGAAACTTAATGAAACTTATCAAAAATTCTGAAATTTCCAGTATATCGAAAATTTCGAATACACTAACAGAAATTTCGGTTTGTACCGAAAATTTTGAACGAAAAATTGGTCCATTTTTCAGTCAGGGGCAGTTTTAAGAATATGAAAGTTTGGGAGTGCCAAGTATAATTTGGGGGGTGGTAAGTTAAATTCTCCATTAAAATTAGTCTGTATGGACTATGAGTAGTCTGTTAGGCCTGCATAACTATAAATTTAAAAAAATTATATTAAAATTTATATCGTTTCTCACTCCAAAACTAACACACAAATTTTTCTCACTTCACTAATTACTAATTTTTTCTTTTTTAATTATTATACATTAATACAATCAAATTAATATTTAATTGTTTGTTTTACTTCTTAATTTCCTTAGAGTCTATTAGTTTCTCTCAAGTTAATCATTTGAGTATTATTTTATGCAATTTTGACATGCATTATGATCTGACCTGATCAGAGGGGAATCAGTGACCTGCCACGCGTCGTTGATCTGCTAGCTGCTCACCGAAGGTATGGA